GGACAGGAAGTGAAGGGAAATCTCCCCAATGGGACACACAGGGCAAAAAAGAGGCTGACAGGGGTTATAACCCTCCTTTACTCCATCAAAAAAAAAAAAGGTTCTACTTTAAGTGAATCTTTTGCTCTGTTGACAAGACCAGCTTCTGTGATCAGAAAATGTATTTAAATCCAACAGAATGAAAATTAAATTTGTGTATGGGCATCTCCATTGAAGATAATGGGGCTCCTGTGCTCGAGGTGGACTAATGACCCTTAATGGCAATTCATGTATGCAGAACACAAATGTGCCACCCTATTTCATTACTTCTTGAACAGGATAGGATGGCTGGGTATTTCTATGGTACCGATACTTATAAGGTAACGTCCTCTATATAACCTTTGGGTGCTAGGCCCGCTGGGCTTTACATTTTATCTGGCCTTTAAATAACAAATTCATCCCTGTAATGGGCCATACAGCTACATGGTGGGGGCAGAAGGGTGCCCAATTCTCAGTGCACATGCCACTCATTCTCTTGAACAATGCTTTTGATTGACTGTGTGAGAAAAATAGAAGAGGAAATTGAAACGCTTGCATATATATGATGCTTGAATACTTTCACCAACCGTGATCCTTTATAAAGTAATTTGTCTCAGATTATATACATTGTTATATACAAAGCAGCAGAGCTAATTTGTGTGTTGCAGTTTGATATACAAGTGATTTTGTTTTTGGAGAAAGCTACACATAATTGTCAGCATTTGTGGAACTGTTCTCCAGGGACCTCTTAGTCCTTGCACACACAAGTGCTGGATGTGAAATTACATGGAAGTACATGCCGCTCCTGCCCAGCTCTGAGAGGCTCCGGGGGAGCCATGAAAGCGAGGGGCTGGCAGAGTCTAGATTGAGCCTGGCGATTATTAGGCCACTTGGCTCAATACACTCAATTATGGCTCGGCATCTGGAAGGAACTCTGCAGCCATCAAGAACTATGCCCATGGCTTTCGTGCCCTTGTGTAGATGCACATATTTAAATCTGAGCAGGTGAGGTTTGTTCGCAAGAGATCAGTTCTCACTTTAATGCTAATACTCACCTTCTAGTCACTGTGGCGTTAGCAAGTTAGAGAGAAAGTGAATACCCTTTATGTCCGGGTGTAAAGTAGCATGTGACTCTCCCACTTCCACTCATTGTGTAGTACTAGGTGCCCAAGCATTGTCTAATGGGGGCCCTAACCCTGTGTAAGTTCCAACCAGATCCTTTGTTTTTTTGTTTTACAGTCTGCGTCACATTGGGGTAATTCACATTAATTTCCTGTCCCATAAGCAGAACAGGAAGTAAGAGGAAATTTCTCCACGGTGACGGAGATTACGGTTTGAGTCCTGTATGTGCAGTGTCTGGTTTTCAGGTCAGCTGAAACTGGACACAAGGGGGGTGATTTACTAACCTAAACACACGCACGCACCAGGTGCGTGTGATTTTTACACAGCAAAGCGTATCTATCAACCAAAAAGTCTCTATAAGCATGTTTCCACTAATGCCATATATGGAAAAATCATGCACATGATGCATATATAATGCTGCTTCACAGTTTAGACAAAAATGGTTAGCTCATGCATTTACATTCCTGCATTCATCAACGCAAGCAACACAACATAGAGCTAATTTACCCAACATCACCTTGCAATTCAGGGCAGGGCTTTGCACAACACACCTGCTGGTTGGTTACACACTACAAAGGTGTTTAGATTCCACCCATAGATCATGCTGGGAGGGAACACACTACAGAGGTGTATACATGTTCGTGGTGTGTTTTATAAGGTTAGTAAATCAACCCCAAGATGTCACAATGTCAGGAGGACAGGGACAAACCACGTTGGTCCAACTTGAGTGCATGGAGGAGGAACGGGATACAGAGGGACACTGGAACTTGGGGAACAAGGAGGTGTGTGACATACAAGGTGCAGCTAAGTCTTGAAGGGCACAGGAGGTCTTCTTCAGGCAGATGTGCTGCTCGCTATCTCTTCTCACTTTCTCTCCTGGCTGTCTCTCCTCAATCTCTCTCCTGGCTGTCCTTCCTCACTCATCCCCCTGGCTGTTTCTTCTGGCTGTCTCTCCTCTCTCCTGGCTTTCTCTCTTCGCTCTCTCTCCTAGCTGTCTCTCCTTGCTCTCTCTCCTAGCTGTCTCTCCTTGCTCACCTTCATAGCTGTGTCTCCTTGCTCGCCATCCTAGCTGTCTCTCCTTGCTCGCCTTCCTAGCTGTGTCTCCTTGCTCGCCTTCCTAGCTGTCTCTCCTTGCTCACCTTCCTGGCTGTCTCTCCTTGCTCTCTCTCCTAGCTGTCTCTCCTTGCTCTCTCTCCTAGCTGTCTCTCCTTGCTCTCTCTCCTAGCTGTCTCTCCTTGCTCTCTCTCCTAGCTGTCTCTCCTTGCTCTCTCTCCTAGCTGTCTCTCCTTGCTCACCTTCCTGGCTGTCTCTCCTTGCTCTCTCTATTGGCTGTCTCTCCTTGCTCGCCTTCCTAGCTGTCTCTCCTTGCTCACCTTCCTGGCTGTCTCTCCTTGCTCTCTCTCCTGGCTGTCTCCCCTCACGCTCTCTCTCCTTGCTGACTGATAGCTGGTCAGACCAATTTTTAACTAGCATTTCTTTTATTGTGCAACCATGAAATGTAACTTACTGATAGTCCCTTGAACTAAAATGGATATGTTGCAAGTGAGCCAGTTGCCATCAAGGGGTTAAAGTCACGAAAAGGGAATCAATTTGTTAATTGGTCAGTAACAAATGATTTGATTCAGCGTAAAATATGAGAACAGATTTATCCAGTCAGCATGGAACCGTATAACTCACAGCACGACTGACCGAAATCTAGACTTTATGTGTACAAAGTTCCAGGCAAGACACAAATGGACAAATTGCTGATTCTGATTCAGTCATTGATGTCTAAAGTATTGAGCCTCTGCAGAAATGATTTTTAGGACCAGCCAAAGCAGGCAAATATGTAATTGAAAGATAAATCCAGGTATTATCATATCCAATACTCGAGTACAGAAGAGCAGAGACAGCGGGAGGGCCACTGTCTGTTGTACATACACTGACAATGCAGCTGTATATGATTATTAAGGGGCTGATGTGTAAACCTTCTGCCCAGTGTAAAGCTGAGCAAATGCTGTTCACATGGTATTACCGCCTTTAGATGGCACTGAGGATCAGCGAATACCCTATGCTCCTTGTGCCATTTAGTGGCGGTTTACACTAGGCAAAAGGTTTATACATCAGCCTTGTTCCTAATGTTACTAGACAGGGGCAAGGGGTGGAGTGGTGGAGGCTATCCCTCCCAGCTCCAGGCAACCAGTGCTAGTGACATTACTGGTTGCCAGGTGCCCGGCGGGGCGCTTTGGCCAGCATTCAGCTGAGCTATTGGCAACCAGTAACGTTGCTGGTTACCCGGAGCTCAGCAGGATGCCAGCATGTGTCCCAGGTTGCTAAGAGTTGGGCAGGGAGATGTGTAAGGCCCTTACACATCTCTCCTCCTGGCTCTTAGCAACCTAGGACGCTTTGGCCAGAAAGGGGCAGCAGGAACACTGAAAACATTGTGCAGCTGTGCCTGCTGCCCCCCACATGACCCAATAAGATGCTTCAGGCTTCCTCATTATATGGTCAGCCCTGTTACTAGATAATATATGCCATTGACTTACCGCAGTTTTAAGAGGGAAAAGTACCCACAAAAAGGAAACATAAAACTGCTGAAAAATTGTGATTACTAATGCTTAAGTTCTTTCCCATAATCCTCTGTTATTAGGAACATGGATGTGGTGCTTTGAAGTTACATACCTACCCTACATACCTACCAACATGAATGTTTTCCATAATCCTGAGCCAACATTTTATACTGTAGCTAGCAGCTCCAGAATCGCTGTCCTTAGCGTCACAGCGTCACAGAAATTGCATCTCTCATGGTCCAGCTAACAATGGCCACAATAGTCACAAGACTGCCCTGTTGTATGGCTGTTGGTTCCCTACTCAAACCAGGTTATTCCAATGTTAAGCTACCTGATGCACAGTGGCATAATACCTGTTCACCACCTGTAAATTGACTCTGCTTCCTGGAAACCTCCTCGGAAATGGGCAACCACTGCCTTCATTAGATTGCTTTCGGTGCATGTTGGGAGACCCAGAGCCCACTCTACAAAGCATGTAACTGAGATTGATCTCAGAACCACCCTTACATTTGAGGGCATTAAATAAAGTGGGCCCAGGATAGGGCGGTTTTTCAGGTGGACATAACACAATTTGCCTAATACTGAGTGTTTTTGTTATGTCATAGCAATGCCACATGGTCCCTTTATGTCTAATTGCCATCTTTACTAGTAAACAGATCATAGTAAAAGTTGATCGTTTTAACCCTCTTAAAAATATGGACCATGACCCTACCATATTCAATCCCATGTCAAACTCATGCAATATATATATATATATATCGATATATATCAATATATATCGATATATATCGATATATATAAATATATACCCTTTTGTTCATCACTCATTATACTTAGAGAAAATAAAGCAATACAATCTTATGTAAACAAAGATGATTTTATTGGGTGGCTGAGGCTTACAAACATTAAAACCATATTTTGCTATGTAGACCTATTTTTACATAAATAATAAAGCTGCAGAATATGAAAAAGGTGTGTGACTTTCAAAAAGTGAAGTAGCCATGATATCTTCCATTCAGTGAAACGGGACCAGATTAAAGTTAAAGCCATAAAGGCAACTACCTGAGGTCACTGACGGTAAAAGCCGCTTTAGTGTGCCTTGCACATAGTGAGGTGTGGACAGTAATCTGTAGGCAGTTAGGCCCCATTTCCCATATTGAACTTAGGTGCAACATTTTGTTGAGCAAGTCCTTAGGAGAGCAAGAAAGTTAATATGTATGTATGTATATATATATATTGCTAGTTATCAGCAGTCTATGTAGTAAGGAAAGTCACAATGTTTGCCATGGTTTAGAAAATGTTATAATCTCAAGGACCTCAAGTTGTTCGACACTCCAGCATCTTCCGAAAGCTCTTACGGAAACTGTCATCTAAGAAAGCGTAGAGGAATGGGTTGAGACAAGAGTTGGCGTAGCTCAAACTTGTAATGAAGTAAGACATGCCAATAACTGCAGAGGTCTCCTGCAAATCTGTGGTCAGAGACACTATGGTAGCTAGGTGAAAAGGAGTCCAACAAAAAAGACAAACCGCCACGACAACAAAGACCATGATGGTAACCCTTTTCTTGGCCTTGTCCAAGGCCTTGCCATTGGAATTTAACCTCATATTCCTCAGCTTGTACAACATGAGCATGTACAAGATACAGATGGTGGATACCGGAATGGCAAATCCCAACAGTAAGGTGTAGATACGACTCGCCTTGAACCATAGCTTTTCTGGTTTGGGGAAATTCAGTCCACAGCTTGTAAACTCCATATTGTCCATGTATACTCCAGCGAAAATGGAGAAAGGCAACACAATCAGAAAGACCAAGACCCAAACAAGAAGACTGACAATTTTGGCTCCCCGATAGGTACGATAGGGCATCCTCTTGGACCTTACCGTGGCCAATACGACCAAATAGCGGTCTATGCTCATGACGGTTAAAAAGAAAATGCTGGAGAAGATGTTGTAAAGGTCTATGGATAAGATAATCTTACAAAGGACAACACCAAAAGGCCAATAATGAAGAAGAATCTCAGCAATGTTGATGGGAAGGACGAGTGTAAACAAGTCATCAGCAATTGCCAGGTTGAGGATGAAGAGGTTGGTGACAGTCCTCATCTTTGGGGCTTTGAGAATAACATAGATGACCGCTGTGTTTCCAGTCAATCCCACCACACAAATGATCGAGTAGATCACCGGGAGAATGATATAGAAATTTGGGGACAAATCATTGCTAGCGATATATGTTTCAGAATTAGAATTTCCATAATAGCCACCAAGCCCAGATAGATTGTAGGAAGTATTAGGAGTGCTCAACAAAGACACATTTTCCATGGTCCTTCCTCTAGGATCTTGTTAAGAGACAGAAAGTAAATGAAGGTTAAGACTCCACGGTCAGTAGCTCACTGCATGTTCCAAATAACCCAGTGGTTCCAGGATCTGAACACCAGCTGTTCATATTAAGCCAAGCCAACACTGCAAGATTTGTCCGACTGTGAAACAGGCTGCGGACTTGGAAGAGTATCAACAGTGTTTAACTGTCCTTTGGGCTTGTAATCTGCTCAATTTCTGAAAGAGAGAAAAAATCAGACCATTTATTTATTTTTAGACCAGCATCAAGCCGAACTGGGAGAGTGGCCATGAAATATTTATATACTGTACAGAGTTCTGTACAAGTTCCATAAAATGTTTCTGCACAGAACACGAAGAAGCAATAAAATATTAAACCGTCACTGTACTTTATTGGCAAATAAGCTATTGTGAGACAGGGATGTAAACTGATGAGACCTTTGAGCAAAATACATAATGTTCTCATGAATATAAAAATAATATAAAAAGAAGCCCATTATTTCATTTTTTTAAAAAGAACAATTCCCCAGTGGCACACAGTTTCAGCACCAGTGGGAAACCAGTTAAGATGGTTAAAGCCCAACATCTGTCATTCTTGTTTTTTTTAGAAAGGGGGGAAGATAGAACCTGTAAAATGTTTGTTATACACCTGTGCTGTACTCCTGGAGTGTGCAATGGCCTGTGTTGTGTTACACTAGTGTACTGTGGTCTATACTTTATAACTCTACTGTTCAATGGTTGGTGTGGTACTTCTCTAGTGTACAATGGTCTGTGCTGTACTACTCTAGTGTACAATGGTTTGTGCTGTATTACTCTAGTATACAATGGTCTGTGTTGTGCTACTCTAATTTACAATGGTATGTTCTGTATTATTCTTGTGTACAATGGTCTGTGTGGTACTAGTGTACAATTGTATGTTCTGTACTACTCTAGTATTTAATCACCTGTACTGTACTATTTTGCTTGCTGTGCTGTTCTGCTATAGTGTGTAATGGGCTGCAATGTACTAATCTAGTGTATGGTGGTCTGTTCTTTACTAATCTAGTGTACAATAACCTATGCTGTACTACCCTAGTGTACATCAGTTTGTGCTGTACTATTTTAGTGTACAATGGTCTAGGCTGTACTACCCTAGTGTACAATGGTCTATACTGTACAATTTTAGTGTACAATGGTCTATACTGTATTTTTTTAGTGTACTTTGGTCTATACTGTACTATGTTAGTGTACAAAGCCTGTACAGCCTTGTACAATTTTATACGGTGCAACAGCCTTTACCACTACTGTCCTTGACTGTATGTACTCTACAGCCACCAGCTTTATGTCCTTACTGTACATCTGACCCGGCTGTCTCACTGTGCAACTTCCTAAAATGTATGTCTTTTCCAGGCAGCTGCATAAATGTACATATCTACAATACAGTTTCTGCAACTTTGCAGCTACCCTGACTCTAGCTCTCTGTTCTACTTAATAGATAGCTGTCCTGACTGTAGGTTTATTATACGGTCAACTAAGTTGTAGGTCTTTATTCTACAGCCACCCCAACTATGCTTCTGTACAGCCCTCCTGGTTACACATCTCATCTGTAGATCTACCCTCTAGGTCTGTCTCCATTATACACCTGACTGTAGAACTCTGTATTGTAAAGTGACATAATAAAATTATCTCCAATAAAACTTTGTAGCCGAGCTGATTCAGCACTATAGTAGTAGCAATATGTACACAATATGTACACACTGATGTATTTATATGTTTGTACAGTAAAAAAAAAAAACACATGGCAGTGAATCCTGATTCAAAATGCTAAGTATACAAAAAAAAAACAAGAACTGGATCTAACATTGCATAAAACTGGATTTTATGTCATAACTTGGTAGCCCTGAAAACCAGAAACAACAAAAATAGAAATATCCAGGCAGAAATGGACCTAGAAAAAGTAGAGATTGCCTCTCAAAATCAGGGATGTGGGGCAATTCATCTTAGGCTAATAATTGTTTCCTAAACCCAATTAACCTGGCTTACTCTTATTTTGCCCCAATTGTGGTACCAGGCTGTGTAGCCCCCACATGTGATGCAATAAGTGACCCCCCTACTTGTATTTAAAGACACCAGGCTGCTCCTTACCTTGCATGCTGTGCAGTCAGTGCTTCAGTGTGCGGTGCCTGTGCTACGCTTACATCTACAAGAGTTCAGACAGGGAGGAGGGTTTGTTATTGCTCTGCTGACGTCTCAGCCTGCTGGAAGCCCCTCTGACACACAGCATCTGATCAAACTTCAGTTTGTGAGGGAGGGGCTACACAGCTCCCACCTGTCCCTATCACCATCATGGCTGTCCCTGTTCTGGTTCTGTCTAATGACCTCTGTATCAAATAATATAATATTTAAGGGACTCCTTTTCATTGATGATATGTGCCCCTTCCTTCAAATGCTAGCTGCCTGGCTGTCATGCCCATCCAACAACTTGAATATTTTATAAGCCACTAAGCTGGGACATGTATGTTACCAAGGAGTCTGGACTGCCTTTGCTGCTTTCTGGTTCTGGTGCCATAAGGAATTAAGAGACAGATGTAATGTACAAACCTGACCCTTCCCCACTCTATCCAACAATAGAAAAAAATGTTTTGGATGAAGTTTCACTTTAAATGTACATTTCAGTTCAGCCTGTGTAAGTACTTTAATTTGTCTTTGTATAGGCCTCCTATAATCCCCCTAACATAAGGATGGATGGCCAGCCCTGTGGGCTAGCCTGACTACACTGCATTGTGTAGTGCCATCTGTCACAACACTGGAAACTTTGCTGACAGGCGGTTTTTCTGATCTCCCTCCTCTTTATAACATAGCCTTATTACCTGTTATTTTCCCACTTCCTTTAACAGGATGACCCTGTAGGAAGGGTAGTCCTAGATGGACCTCAAGTAAGAGACAAACAAATGAAAGCCCAACTCCAGCAACACTTTTTAAGCAGTCACTACAGCAGTTTTTGTTTCTTTGGAACAAAATCTTAAAACCAAGTGAATAAAGATGACCATTGTAAGACCCCCTGACCGTTCTATATGGTTCTCCCAAGTCTCTGTGTTTGTCAACATTTGCTGGACAGCTTGGCCTGTTACAGGAAGTAGAAAATGAATGGATCTCCTGGCACGATCCACAGGTAAAAAACTTATATGACAAGAGGGAATTAGAAAAACAAATAAATGCTGTGTTAATGCTACTTACAGACTGCATTATATGTTTCATTTAACTGCAGCAGAGGGAAAAAAACAACAACTCAGTGACCTGGCTGTACTGTGTGGATCACAGGACTGGCTGAACTCAATGACACATCAGGTGAGACAGATGTGCATTTAGGTTTTTGCTCAAATTTCAGTTTGACAGAAAAAAAATAATGGTTTTTGTTTTGTGTAGCCTGGGGTCCCTGGTAGAGCTAATGACAAATGATTTTTAGAGGTTGGCAACCGTCCTATTAACTTTGAGGAGTTCCTCTTTAAAAGTACCAAGGATATCATTTCATTAGAGTAAGCCATACAGAGAACCAGGAACATGTACCCTGATTAGCTCACAAGTTGCCCTCTCTAAGTGGTACACTGTTCATTTACCCCGCCGCAAAGAATGAGAGGGAGTCTTTGAGCCATAGACCTTGCCTCTTATTATAGAGTATCAAAGCATCGCGCATAATATTCGATTCCGCATTGTTCGGCATATTCGATTCTGCATTGTTCGTCACAGCACACTCGTAGAAGTTCACCGCCGTTTCATCTCACGCAAATTAATAGCTCTGAATTATAATGAACATTTTTTTTCTCTCTTTCCTGTAGAATGGCTGTTAATCACATCTCAGACGCAGAGACCTATTGCTCTATTAGATGTGTGATATTTAAGTCGCTTAACATAATTACCTTTTCACATGCTAATCTGGAATGTATTACCATAAACTGTGAAATGAAGATGATTTCTAAAAGGTAACTCCAGCCAAACCAGGAGTAGAGGTTCCACCGTCTGATTTCTAAAATGCCGTGGCTGTCACTGGAACCGGAAGGGAAGGGGGGACTTGTTCCAGTGATGACCCCATTACCTTTTGTGAGGTGGCTACTAGACATTTAGTGATTTCCAGGGCTGTAGTGAACCTGGCTGGATTATATTTGGCATTTATCTGGTTAATTTCAGGTGTCTGGCATTGACTGTGCCCCCCTGAGTGGAGTGTGACTCGGCTGTATTGTGGGACAGCCATTGAGAGTCACTGTGAGTGTGTGTACAGTACAGCAGCCAATCACTGGGTTTCTCTCAACCAGTGGTGTATGCTGGGATAGGGTACATATACTGGGTACATATACTGGAGGGAATTTCGATGTGCTCAGACTAGTCGGGACCAGCCATGGATTAGGACAGGGCTGTGTGCTGTCCAGCCACCCCCCGGGCCAGGCTTGTGGCCTGGGGGTGGGCAGAGGCTAGAGTGTAGGAAGAGTTTCCCTAGTCCTCAAGTGTGGTGGAGGCCAATGCTGTTATCAGAGGAGGAGAACCAGGGAAGCTGATGTCTGCTGGAGGTGCCCAGAACAGAGAGGACTTCTGGAGCATGGCTGGTGTCTCTCCTGCTGAGGATCTGTACTCATCCCTGCTCATCTGTTAGTCCAATTACCACTTGCTGTACCTCAAGTTGATCTACACTGAGATGCTTAAAAGGTCTGGTGAGTCTGGAGTCTGTCTGTTGCACCCTGGATGTCTAGGACCCCTTTACCCTCTCTAACCAGTGTGAAGATGTGAATACAAGTTATTCAGAATTGCATTGCTGGAGTGGATATCAGCTTTGTGGGCACTAGAAGAGGGCAGCTAAATGGTAATGAGGCAGCTGAAGACTAAATCCTCTAGACAACTAGTGATGACCCGGGTTATTCCAGCGGCTTTTTATGGGGTGAGCGCTACAACTGTATAAGAGAAGACTTCCTTTCACTTTGTCTTAATATCTCCTTTGCATGCCATATCGATGTACCCCACAATTTAGCACCAAGAGCTATTGACACTTTGCCTGACGAAGGGGCCCTGCGAGGTTATGAAACTTTGCATTTCACATGCCACGCTGTAGGAGTACCACAATATTCTGAAGCTTAATGGTGTGTGGCAAACACTTCTTCCATTTCTCTCGCTTTGTATGAGATTTGTTGTGTCTCCAGGATGTCAAAAAAAGGGAAATCTCTTCAATGGGTCACAGCAAATATTTAAAAAAATTACAGTGGTTCTTACCATTCCTTATGCTATCCAATTTTTTTTTTTGTCTTAAGATATAGTTTAGGCCACATTCACATTTGCTATGCAGATGAATATGTGTCACACTTGCGGTGGCATTCATTGTTAATGGCACTTCGTATGAGGTAAACAAGATGCGTGGTCAAAAACACTCATAGCTCAAAAAGCTGCATGAGCTTCTTTGCTGAAATAAATGGGCTGCCTTATGCGGACACCCAAGAAATGGAAATAACATGCAAAGCAGCGTAAATGGGGCCACAAGCATGAATGGGGCCTTACACTTTTCAGCTGGCTTGTGGTAACTTAGTATACAGAGAGCGATTAGCTAGTCACAGCAGGTTAATTGTAAAATGATTTCATGATTTTTCTTGAAATATTAACCCAGCAGGTGACTGAAGCCTGCCCAAAACTGAAATATGGGCACAAGCGTACTTTATTCGGGAATTCCAATGATATACTATTAAGGCTGTTTTATATAATCAAAAATACCCACATATTTAATTCTAATAGCTCGATGTTTGAGGAAGGCAAATGCAGTGCTAACAATGGTTGCCATGGACAACTGCTGCAGATTTTAATATAGTTTGACTCCATGAATACAAAAAACCCTTTTAATAATTTTATTTCTAAACTAACAGAGCTGCTTTATTTCCCTTTCTATATAGAGAATGTGGTGATTTCCATGCTCTACGCTGTGATCTCTGATAAGTAGCGTAACCCATTTTCAATCAGCATAAGTGGAGTGTCTCAGTGCCCTTACCCAGAATCCCTTTCTGCTGGTTAAGTTGTCCTCGCTTTACAAATGAGTGTGAATAGCATTTAAATGATAAACTGCTGGATATTTTTTTCTTGTTTGTGACTTTCTTCTTTTTCTCCTTTTGGAGGAGAAACACAATATTTTTGAAAATGTAACTACAAAGAGTATGCAAATGTTCGAATGGGAAGGGGTATTTCCAACAGGGGCCCACATTACTGTAAAAAATTGTATTATTTACCCCTAAAGCTGGCCATACACCTATGGATTTTCTCCAGATTTTCATTGGTCAGATGGAAAAAGTGCAACAATTTCCTCCATCTATGCTAAACTGTGTGGATGGAGGAATCTTCCGTTGGGCCAAGTTTCAATATCTTGCTAGTCAGCCCCGCTGGCTGTCAAAATACCTGAACAATGCCTGCATCCAATCAATTGTTGGACTATAACTGATGTCTTGGATATAGCTTGGACCATAGTTACACCTGTTACAGCTATGACTGTCCAGACTCAGCTCTTCTATAATTGCTGCTTGTGTCACCGGCCTCAGTGAGCACTACATAGGCAAAAGAGAGAGTACAGGTTCACTCTAAAGCTAGCCATCTACGCTAAACTGTGTGGATGGAGGAATCTCCCGCTGGGCCAAGCTTCAGTATCTTGCTAGTCGGCCCCGCTGGCTCTGAAAATACCTGAACAATTCCTGCATCCAATTAGATTGTTCAGGCCAGCAGGGCCGACTAGCGAGATACCGAAACTTGGCCCTGTGGGAGATTCCTCCATCCACACAGTTTAGCGTAGATGAGGAATCTGTTGCACTTTTTCCATCTGACCATAGAAATCTGCAGATACTCTATAGGAGTAGGGCCAGCTTTAGAGTTAACCTGTACTCTCTTATTTGCCTATGTAGTGCTCACTGAGGCCAGCGACACTAGTAGCAATTAAAGAAGAGCTGAACCTGCACAGTCATAGCCTGGACAGGCTATGTAGTTCTCACTGAGGCTGGTGACACTAGTAGCTATTAAAGAGGAGCTAAACCTGGACAGTCATAGCTGTAACTGGTATAACTATGGTCCAAGACATTAGTTATTGTCCCATTTAAGTATCATGCCTTTTTATTCCTTTATAGTCATCACATGACTATATTGGTCACAGGTCACATATTATGACCCATGACCAATATTTGCTAGGAAATTCCATAAAATATTCTTTGCTCT